TGGGTCGAGAGCCCAAGAGGAGCCCCCTGAGAAGATAGAAAGGACTGTGCCGCAGAGAATGGAGAAGAGCCCCAGCAGAGAGGCAAGAACAACACTGCAGCGAAGATTACAACAGGTTTTGCTTCCAGAAAATTCATAAAGTTAATTCCTGTTTTGGTTCAAGGTAGTATATAAAATAAAAAACCCTTGCCCAAGAAACTCTGAACCAAATGAAGCTATGCTTCATAATCAATAAAACTCAAGGAGAAATAAGGATTTCATGACTGTCATTTAATAAGTGAGCAACATTACAGATCCAGTGATCAGAATCCCTTTCAATAAGTCAAGACATATTCAACATCTCCAGTTCCTGTCACAGAAAGCTTAATGCTGTATTACTCTGTCAAAACCACATTTACAACTTTTATTTCTGTAGCTGTAAATTATTTTAGCAGCAGTGAACCCAGCAGAAATAGTTTGGTCCAAGAAGTATATGTTGGATTATGCATAATGGCAAATACAGTGAGTACCTTGCATTAATCCAATTTCATGGCACATGCAATATTACCACAGCTTTTTGTTTTTGTTTTAAACTCTCTTAAACAATAGCTGTCCAGTGGAAGCATTTCACTTTTGAACGCTTTAAGGCTGTTCACTTGTGATGCAAGTCTCCTGCTGTCAGCTGCTGAGTGATGTCAAGTGCTTCAAATGCCCTTTACACAATGCACTATATGGATGTTGCATTCTGGTCTTATGTTTCTTTGCACTACATGCAATTGAAAACAGCAAAGCTGACATTTAATACTCAGTCTCCCCTATTTGTTTAGTTTGTGAAAGTTTAAAATAAACGTCTTTGAAATAACTCTTCAGAGGCCACTCAGGATTATTAAGAATAAATCAAACAACATAAGATCAGCTGAAGATCTGTGACTTCGGCTTCCAGCAAAGTCAGCCTTTGAAGCTAAATCTGTATTCTGCATCTTTCCATGAGGTGTACAGCTGGGCAGTTCAGAATGTCCAAGAGGGACTGAGGAACAGGGCCTTATCAGAAATCTACTTTCATCTGTTTGGCACTTCCATCTGTGAGACTGTATACACAGAAAGCAGATTGGTGTTTAAGCTCCCTATGGACCACAAAATATTGCTTTCTGAAATCTCCAAGGACCTCAATAAGGAAAAACTGCCAGTCTTTCTTTAGAATGATTCCTTGGAAAATGGTGTTTGAAAAGTGTAGAAGGATGACATTTTAATTCGAGGGAAACGCTTCACTTCCACTTACCTATCTAATCAGTTGGCTGTGCTGACTTTAGCACTGCAGTGGGTGCCAAGGAGAAGGGAATATTTGGTTTCTCCTTGAAGCCATAATCTTTACAGTCTTGCATCTGAGAATTCTTTTTTCTGAAGAAGCACCCCAGCATGAATGCTGTGGAAGTTGTGAAGCAGTGCAATCACATGTAGGTTGTGTGCTCATGTGAGGGACGTTCCTAGGGACCCAGAACTGCTGCATTAATTACAACAGTAATTAAGTTCATTTAAAACATACTTTTGGCAAGGTTGGTCCAGGCTTTGGGCAACCTTGTGGGGGGTATGAAAGGTGCTTTAGAACAACACTGGGTTTGCTTCTTTGCTGTGCAAAACATGGGTTGTGTACTTGAGCTTTGAATGTTTTATGAGAAACCAAAAAAAGCATTGGCAGGGCTGGTGGCTAGTCTCATTTAGTAACCTTCCAAAATGCCTAAGGTTTCCAGTTGAAAGTCTGATTTCAGTCCAGTATGATTTTGTTTCCCAAAAATAAGAACAAAGTATTTCTTTTATATTCACTTCTTTATGAGCATGTTGAGATGAATGCTTTGCCCAGGTTTATTTTAGCAAGGATGGTATGAGAAGGCATGGTCCTACCTAGCCATCCCAAGGTCCTTGTTGGCCCTCCAGTGGCCACTGCACCTTGCCTTTCTTCCTCTGAAATAAGGAGGAGGCAAGAATTCCTTCTGCACACAAGCCCAAACTCAAATGCCTGCATCTCGTGTCCAGATTTGATTAATGTAATTCACATGCTGTGCTCTGGACTAAACCTTTTAAATCAGCCTCAAGTTGATGAAAAATTACTTTGATACGTGTGGAGCCTGAGACTTTTCTGGATGCAATTCAAGATGCTGGGTTTTACATACAGGTCCATAAATGTCCCTGGAGCTTTTTCAGTTAGTAAAAAGATTTGGTTTTTCTTGTCCTCAATATGAAGAAGTAGAGGCATGTGAGCTGAATAAAACTTTGCTTAGTGCTGTGAAATGCTGTTAACTCCTTTTTTTTTGTGAGGATAATTCTTTGTGGGGAACTGGGGGGAAATAGTAGGGGAAGAGGAATATGATATGCCATTTTGTGATGAATTATTTCTGCTTATTTCCTGGTTTGATGCATTCTCTTGGCTTTTTTAATGTTGTATCTTAAATGTACAGATGTGGTACAGCGCTGGTCTCCACAGCTTCCACATCTCTTCTGCTGCAGCTCCATGCAGCAATTTCAAATAAAATGTCTACCTGCCAACTGGCACACTAATTAAGTTACTTTCAATCTTTTTCCATTTCAAATTGAGGTGTCTGAGGAGCTCAGGCAAGTTTAAAATTTTATATTATTTTATATAATTCTATGTAGGATTATAAATTATGCCAGACAAATTGCCTCCATGTTCGTGTTGCAAGTCTAACCTGTCTATGACTTTATAGGATTATGGGTGAGATAGAAAGGAAATCTTTGCAGAAACCACAGCAGTGGTGTAGGATCTAGTTAGTATGTTCAAACTATTTGGGGGATTCTTGTGCCCTAATCAGAGTCTTTCTATGGAAGTCAGTAATTTTACTGCTCTAAATATGTTACCAGCTGCAGGTTAATTGCTACATATGAGGATTTGTCTCTTTGGAGCTTTTTTTCAACTGAGGCGTTGCCTTGTGGTGTGTGAGTGGCACTGTTGCTCTACAGGTGGATGGTCCTCTCTCCTCTGGAGCAGTTTGACCAGCAGGCATGTTCCTTGTTTAGTTGCTGATGCAGTCTTTCACATGGAAGAAAATCAGAGTGAATTTAGCAACTCTAGTAAAATCCTTTGACAGAAGCTGGTTAGTTAGTAACAGAGAGTTGTTGTCTTGAGCATCGTGTGGTTGATGAATGACTTAGTAGTAATGTATTAGTTGACAGAAACAGACCATCTGCTTTTGTGTATTGTTGAATGATGAGCACAGTGGGTATGGAGTGAAGGGAAAGGAGAAAAGAAAACCTGGTGCTCCAACATGTCTTTCTCCCTCATTTTCCCCAAGAAGAAAAATGAAAGAGCAGAATGCATCTAAAAATCCAAGTACAGACATTCAGTAAAATTATCTTAAAATGGCTGTAGAGACAATATTTTGATTTTCTGGAAATGGTTCAATTTTTGTACTATAAATATGCAGTGGCCCTACAGAAAGAAATTAACTGTATTTGTGTTGGTGGTGATATTTCTTTCCTATAAGTTTTTCCATGAATGTTGTCTTTATATTTTTCAGAACACTCCTAACATGTGTGCACCCATAGAGTTTGGAGACTCTAGTGGCAATTTATGCCCTGGAACTTAAGGGCACCTTCAGCTAAGGTAAGTGCATGCTTTTTTTTCTTGTTGCATGCTTTTCTCTTAAGACTGCAGCCAGTCTGAGCAATTCAGTCACCAATTCTGACCAAGAGCATGTTTGGCTTTTACAGAAAGATAGTAGTGCAGACACTTCATCACTCCTGTGTTCAGTTTACTTATCTTACCAGTATTAAGTGTGTTTAGGAAACTTACTTGTCCAATATTTTCTTGCTGCCTTTGCAGGGTAAGTGACTCTCCATCCAGTCCCTCAGCAGTACGCTCTGAAGGATCCATCATGATTGTGGCAACTGTGTGTTATGCCTGGTTATAGATGCAGAAAATTATAAAAGATGAATATAAAGACTATTTCATATAATTTCTCTTGTCCCTCTCTATAAAGCATTCTTCTTATTCAACTGTTTTCAGTATCCCATTGTTTTGTTTGTTTGGTTTTGAGTTTTTTTGATTTGTTCTTAGTCATCAAATGTGAATTTTTTTCTCTCCAAAAGGATATTGTGAGAAGTGTGACCTTCATCTAAACCATGCTTGCTGCTGTACATCTTTTAACAGGAGCACCTGCCGTTGCCATGGCCTTGCAGTGGATGCCAGATAGTTAAAAGGGCTGTAGCCTTTATAACTATGATTTTTGCAGTACTCATCTAATCTGTATTTAACTGGAATTTAATGTGTCCTCCAGGGGTTGACAGTACTTATCTCATATAATGTCATTAGCTTGGGATAGTAACCTTGAGGGAGGAGAAGCTTAATCAGACTTTATTTGCTTCTGACTCCTGCTATGAAAATGTTGGCCTTTCCTGTGGGTGTGACATCCACTGCTTAATGGAGCAGGCACTGGTGTAGTGGCTGGGGAGGCCTCCAAAAGTACTTCAGTCATATTGTCCCATGCCAAGAGGCTCAGAACAGGGAACAGTACAAATTTGAAGAGAAAATTGAGGCAAATCAGTGGCCCGATCCTCCTCAAAGCATAGAAGGGCAGCAGAAACCAGAGCAAGAAGGAAGGTGATCCTGTCCAGGCAGTTGTTTTTCTTATGCTCCCTATCCCAAGTCTTCCTCTTCCTTCCTCTCACTAATCCTAAACCTTCCTATTCCTCCACAAATTAATTTTGTATTCAGCAAGCATAAATTTTTTGTATAAGGGTTTGTTCAGGAACACAAATGCACATTCACGTTAACTTTGCAAAATATACCCAAACAAAGTGCTTCTATGTATTCTGTGACTGTTTTTTAAAGAGAGATTTTGGGCAGGAAGCCAAAACTAGTGAACACTTGCTTTTAATGCAGTATAGTAGCAGATGGTTAGAAACAGCCCGTGGACTCAATGCCTCTTTTGAAGTCAAATATGATACTAAGTAGCAGAAGTAAAGATAATGAAGTGAGCAATTTGGTTTATGACAAGCAGGGGAAGAAATTTGTTTTCAATTAACCTACCAACATATGAGACCAAGGTTAAGGTTTTTAAGGATATAGCAGCATTTGGGTTTTAGTGCTGCTCAAAGGCTCATCGTATTTTGCCACAAAAAAAATTAGTGAGTGCTTTCAGGCTGGATTTGTAGTGGAGGATCCTGGGAAGAGTTTCAGCAAAAAGCATGGAGGCCAGATGAGTTACCCTGGGTTTATAGGCCGGTACATTACATGGTGTTGCTCCCATTGCCTTCAATGACTGGCAAAGTGAAGCTTTCAGATCCTTCTCACGTATATTGAATATTTACTTCCAAGAAAAGGTGGAATCCATTCTAATTATTCCATTTCCAATTACTAAACCATATTCACATAATCTAAACTTCTCAAAAATGTAAGTACTTGAGTTACTCAGTATCCTGGTGTGCGTATAAGTTCCCATGATGGTTTGATACTTAAATTTATACTTTTATTAATACATTACTCTTACTAAAGGATGTCTTATACACTTTACACCTACAGTTTTAGAAATTTAATTTTTGTCTTTGTGTTCATATTCATGGATGACACTTTATACAAAGTTATTTAGCAGAACAAGTTTTTATGTATTTACCAATGTGTGTTTTTTTTTTTGTTCTTAGAAACATTTCCCAGTCCTAAAAGAGAATGGACAGTGTGAGGTGTAGAACTCCTCCTGGAATTTAGGGCTGGAGCGCTGTTCCCCACCTGGCTTGGTTGGCAGCTATCCCAGTGTGGTTGTGTCAGGGAAGCTGTGTGTGTTCCACTATTCACCCTACAGTGAAATACCAAGCCTGAGGATGTGCATGACACAGATGTGGAGCTTACCTACAGCCCTTTTCACCTCAAACTGTTGTGTTTTTCTCTTGAATTCACTAAATAGTAATAAAAGAATGTGGATATTCTGAGTAACACTAAATGGAGGTCTCCAGTGTTGTGTGCATCTGTAAACCATAACTCTTAGCCTTTTAATATGTTTCACTTTGCTCAGCATGCAATAATCTGTCATGCAAAGAACTGGTGTATGAATCCTAGAGGATGAGATCTTGCTACAATGACCAGTTGCATAATATCTTGGAAGATAAAAGTCACAAAAAATAAAATTTATCTGTATGTTTATGGTAGGATATTTGAAGATTTCATTTATCATGCTGGTACTGTGCCATGTTCTTGTTGTAAACCTCTGGAAGCACTGAAGAGTGATATAGGTTATCTTTTCAGTGTGTGTCTCTTGCTCCAAGGCCAATACTATTACTGGTTACAGACTTTTTTATGTCCTGGAGGCTGTTCCTTCCAGGCTTTAATAGCTCCACATCCATTTCCATATGAAATGCATTTCCTGCAGTCCCTTTGTAGGACTAATGAGTCCAATGAACTTGTTAAAGGTATCTAAAGACTTTTCATGCAGTTCAAATGAGTTCATGTGAAAAAAATTAGCACTCCTCATGCCTGTTAAAATCTTCCAATGAAAGAATGATAGAATTGACTTTAAACAAATCACCTCTCCGCCACTGCTTTATCCTAGGAAGTAAAAGTCCAGCTTCTTGGTTGTACAAGTGCAAGCAAATTATGTAAGGAGGGAAAAAACCTTTTAAGCAGTTGCAAAGGGTACTGTATAGCTTGTTTCTCTGTTAGTTGAAGTATGATGGAATGCTAGGTCAGTCATCTTCTCCACATGGTTTGGCAGGATGTTTCCTCTGCACCTGTGTCTTCGCAGCCATGTGACTGCAACTGGCTTCTAGGTCTTCAGAGAGATGTCAATAACACACATAATATCATTGTTACCTAAGTTCTTTCTTCCTTTCCTGCTTCTTTTATAGTTTTATGAACCTTCTACTGCTGCAAAAATTAATTAGATGCTCTAAACTTTGACAATACAGTTGAGAGAACATTTTTTTACCCTTACAGTAGGGTTGTAAATAAGCCATTTGATTTCACTCTTTGTGCATCCCACTCTTTTTGAAGGGTTTATCCACCATAACTTTAAAATCAGTGTTTTTATTTCTAACAGAATTTGAATCCTTCCTGTAGGTAAAGATGTTTTGTGTCAGTGAGTTAGCTTTTCTGAAAACTTGTAGCCTTAAAAATATGAGTGACTATTGTTCAGGGAGGAGTCACAGAAATAGTGTCTTCTGAAGTAGAAGAAAATAACTGAGAGTATGGTATTTGGGGCTTGTCTTTTGCATTTTGTATTTGAAAAAATGTTATTCTCTGAAGAAAAAAGTATTAGCTTGCACTAGGGACATGGTGCTCTTACAAGAGGAAAGCCATACTAGATTTCGAAAATACGTATGATGCTTACTTCAGTGATTGTCACAGTAGGCAAATAAGATATTAAAAAAAATTAAAATAGTTTGATATGATTTTATTTTCCTAATAGTATATCCCTTAGACTAAATCTTCTGCATTAATTTAAATGATTTCTTCAACAGCATTTTATCTGTATAGTGCTAAATTTTACAAAAGTAAAATATGGAAACATGAACTGTGCTTGGTCATGAAATAATGAGTTATGCTTGGTCTTGTCATAACTTAGTCATGAAAGATCTTGTCTTGCACATATGTAAATGTTTATTTGTTTAGATTTGTTCCAGCATATATCCTGTCAGTTCTCAGTCCTGTAAAGATCTTACAGAACTTTGATTTTTTTTTATTGTCTATAAAATTATGTATTTCAATAATTGCACTTAGGATTTTACAATCCATTGCAGTAGCAGCTCTTTCCACATGTGAAGAATGTGCTGATTGGAAGTGGCCCACTTATGCTTCCAGACAAGATCTGTGTGGTTTCTTTCTGAGGAACTGGATCAATCTGTGCAACTTTCAGTCTAATAAGCTACTTTTGACTGCAGGAATCAAACTTTCTTGCTACCTCTTTTGTTGTGTAGACTTACTAATATCTACCTTTGCCTGATGCAGCTTGTTAGGCTGCAAGGTAAACCTAGTTTTCTGCTCTTTTTTTTTTTAACTGAGAAGAGATTAATTTGTAATCCCATGTGTGTTTTCAATATCAGTTGAGTAATGAGACTGAGGAAAAGTAATGAGAGGGCGAGTATTTTATCCTAGTTATTTTTACATATCTGAAGCAAAAGATTCCCATACTGAGGGATGCATATGAAATGAAATTCCTCCAGTGACAACTGGGACTATTCTCCAAAATAAGAACATTTCTAGGTCTAGTGATGTGTCTGCCAGTAAATTTTGCATTATTTTTGTTTACAGTCTTTTCTCTATACACTGTTTAGAAACTATACTCTTCAACTCCTAGAAACTAAACATTGCTAACAAAACTGAGTTTTATGTACTTAAAATTTTGAGATCTCATTTATAACAGCTGTTTGAAAAAAAAGAAAGATAGTGATAATTCTGCAAAGAGTTTCTAAAAACTCAAAGGTAAACTGGAAAGTCCACATAACTTTTAAAATGGTGATTAAAAAATAGTATATTGCTGTTTAAGGAATACTGCACAGCATTGCTGCCTAACAGGAGCAAAGTTACTAAATGCATATCAGTACATCTGTCTTCAAATGGTAAAGCAAGTTTACAATCCATCTGCTAGATCAGAGGAAAATCTGCTTTTCAATTGT